TACAATTTACGCAGAACAGTTTATTGAAATAAGAAGAAAGGAATTTTTCATTGGTGTAGAAAAATGATCCTTTCGCAGCGTCGAATATTGGTCGCACTGAATTTTGCTTTTTTGGAAAACGAAAAGTACATACTTGAAATAAGCTTTCCTTTGTAGATTGTAGAGCTTTTCANGGGTGAAGAATTAGATTTTTTTCCGATTTTGGAAAAAAGAATTCCGAAATTTTTCCGATTTTGAAAAAACAATTTCCGATTTTTAACTTTTTGATCTGGCCACCCTGGTTGGAATCTTATAATAATTCTGTTTTAACTGTTGTTCTATAAATTCTTTTGATAAAACTAGTTAAATTACGTTAGATGTGCAAATTTCGATGTAGATTTATTTTAATTCTAGCTACGTTTGATATTTAGATATATACTTCTTTTCACGCATTTCATCAATTTATCCTCAAATAAACGGTAAGCAAAGCTTTTCGATCGAAGAGACGTTACTTATTCAACAGGAATAATCAGTTGATATCAGTTATTCGAAAGAGAAAAGATTTCAATAGTATTTTTCTTGAAGTAACTGTATGTGTGTTAGACAACACAAGACGCCTGCTGTCTTATTCGCTGCTTATTCTATCTATTAGACAAGACTGTTCCAAACAAAAAAGATATATCAATCATTAAATAAAAGTTTTTCAAACCATAATTTTACTGATCTTCTCTTCAAACCACAACGTCAATAGAAAAATAAGATTCCGTCATCAGTAAAACTGAAGATTAGTTAGTACTGAATTTAAAAAACGTTTTTACAATGTTCTAACACTTCAAATAAACTGCTTTCATTCTTTCGTTCACTTTTTCAAAAATATACAACTTGATATATTCATACTTCCATATAAGCGTTTAGAAATCAGCTTAAGAAGATGTGCATTTTACTTCAATTTTTCCAATAGCAAAATGATCATGATATGATTCACCAACAGAGATGTTTTCTTCTCTTTTTATAGAGCTTGTCTATATTATATTTGACTGATGTCACATCTTATAGGTACATGGAACAAACTGATGAAAATAAAAGCGAGAAGAGAATGACACAGCATCTTTTGTTGAATGATCCAGAAATTTTTGTATTTGTTTTTAAAAAATCTAATTCTTCACCCACACTCTATATTTTTCACTTGAATTGATTTGTTTTCCACTTGCTGCCTGGCATAGTAGTTTTTCAAACACAAACTATATCATGCTCCTTTTTTGATAGATTGATCTTAAAAGTACAAAAATTCAAATTATCGATATATTTCTTCTTCAGGATACCATGCTCACACATTAAATGTTTGACTGTTTCAAACAGTTATGGTTAGGATGTGGGTGTGGGTGTGAATATGAGTGTGTGAATGTGCATGTATGGGTGGAGGCGTAGGTGTGGGTGTGAATTGCACTTGAAGTGAAGTGAGGACACATGCACACCCATACCCTCTGTTCTTTATTCTTTTCGTAGTTTTTGTATTTATTCCGAAGTGAAGTCAGAAATATTTGCATCATACAATGAATTCAAAGTCCATACATTTGAAACACCTTATATGGTTACAGTTTCTCTCCTGCTCATCTTAAATCGATAATACAAAATGGTAAGATACCCATCGTTTGGTTTTTTTTCACTGCGGAAAAACCAAAGCAAAAAAAATGAAGGAAGCATACGACAAGCATGTGTTGTACATAGAACGATATATATTAATGTGAAAAAAAAAGAAGCAGTCAAATAAAAATTCACACTTGATTGATTCAGGTACATATTCTATGTTGAAAAGAACGACAAATTACCAACACCTATAAATACGAAGTAATATCACTTGCAGACTCACATTACAAAATAAACATATCTCAAAATCAGCTGGTGAGTAGTCTTATTCCACTGTCCATGTTTTTACATTAGCGATATGTTTTACTTTTTCAATACATTAGTATAGATACTAATGATAGCAAAAATGACGGAAGATAAATATGAATTCTTGTACTAATGTCCATTCGGAAATTAAAGATACTCGGTTAAAAATTGAACAAGTCAAGAATGCAAGCAGCTAGCGATCTGCGATTTTGAGCAATCGAAAGAGGAGACATGGGGGCGTCTATTTCTCCGATAATGTATAAGACAAAATTCTTATAAAATTAATTATTTCTGGGAAACATTCGAAAAAATGCATGCAAACGTCTTGTCGTTCCGATGAAATTTTGATTTTGACATATGATTTAGATAGAGGGACTTCAGATCTGTAGTTCAAGACATAATGCGAAGGATTATGTTCTCGCATTCTAAAGCTGAATAAATGAAATCATGTATTTGCTTACTCAAATAATAGGAAATTGCGTTGATTTTCAACTAAACTTTCTTCCTTTTTTCAAATTTTCATCGGAACGACAAAACATTTTCATGCATTTTTTCGAATGTTTTCCAGAAATAATTAGTCTTATAAGGTTTTTGTCTTACATATTATCAGAGAAAAAGACGCCCCCCATGTTTCCTCTTTCGATTGCTCAAAACTGCAGATCGCTAGCTGCTTGCGTTCTCGACTTATTCAATTTTTAACCGAGTATCTTTAATTCCCGAATGAACATCAGTTACTATGAAGATATTGAAAAAAAGCTCACATAGAAAACTTAAATTGCTATTGAAAACCAAAATCTATATAATGAGATTAATGTTATTCATTAAAAGTGAATATCTTTAGAAGAACAAATTAAATTTGTATACCTATCATTATATGGTTATAATATTTTGTTCGAATAAAAAGCTACTAAAAACAATGTATTACACTAATAAATACGATTGAAAAATTCTGTAGTATTGTTGTTTGAATTTTTGCTGTTCAAAATGAGACTATCAGCAATACTTTTAACGAATAAGCAGCCAGAGCATAGAGACGAGAAAAAAGCTATCAGATTGATAAAAATCGAACTTTTTAATGAAATTTGCTTCATTTTCATCAAGAATAGCTGCACTAAGATGTCTAAAAGAGTGTGCTGCACATTAGTGAAACCTTACTTTTTAATAGCATAAGATTGTACGATGAAAGTAGATGCATTCAATAAAATCCAAAAGAAAACAGTATATTCTTGGAGGAGAAATTGAAAAGGTGAATAGAAGGATTAGTCATAAGCGTATCACGATCCAATATAAATTATTCGGTGTCGAAATAAGTCAACACGAGTAAATGCTTCAATCATTTCATAAACTGTTGAGTGCACATGCATTTTTATCAGATGACCATTGTGATTGTATTACTTTCTTGACTTTTCCGAAACTATATTTAAAACATCAAGATTTGATCGTTTCTACATGAAATAGGGTATATAGAGCTATACGAAGGAGCTATCACAGAAGTCGTATGCGAACTATGCAAAATCGAAAATGAATAAGAGAAGCGGTACGTCGTAGAGGCGTACCGGGTTCGTCATTGATATTTTATGTAGATGTTTGTTAATGTAGATTTTAAGATTTTAAAATAGGTGTTTTATCACCCATAATAGTTGTCGTTTTCGTTTTCCTGCGCTCATCAATAAGTTCCTAAGTACTGGTATAATTATCTAGAAATAATATTCATCTCTCTAATTCTTGATTGTAGCGTCGTTAAAAGTTTCTTTTGCAAGTTAGAAACAGCTATCATTCGATTTTGGAATATTCAGAACTGGTCGGCCAATGGAACCTTGTGGGTTGTAAATGTAATTTTTCACTCTAAGTAGAGCATGTGGTAACTGAGTTATTTTCTTGAAGAAACTATATTCGCGAACGAACAAAAGCATAAATAATATCTACTGTTCTTATCATTCATATTTGTAAACAGTAAAGTTAAGGCATTAACGTGATGTTAAGTTCTATGTTTAGTTCTTGTTGTTTTAGAACTTGTTTTATTGCAGGTTCAAGATACACACATAACAATTTTACACACTAACTGAAAACTGCTGAAAGACGCACCGCTCATATAAATAAAAGACAAAGAGGTGAATAAAGAGAAGAGAACACGAAGAAGATATATCACAAGGATAATATGATCTTGTGTGTTAACACGAATCGTAACACGTGGGGTATGAGTATGGCGTAATGACTATTTTTCTTTAGGTTTTTATTACCTGCAAAGGAAACTCTTAACAATTAGGGATTTGTCGCAACACCAACAAACTTTGGTCAGACCAACCCTGCAAGATGAGTCTTGCATTCAGACATGTCTAGATCGATAGTCACTATTAGATTACTATTAACGCTAACTACGTAGTAGTAACTTGTTTCACTCAACCTAGTAACATTGTTACTAAGGTGACCATATTTCATGTTGCTGTTTGCCATGCATATGTTAACACAAATCGTCTAGCATTCCTCTTCTTATCTTACATTATGGACTACCCTAAATCCTTTCAGTAGAGGGTAACGCGACGATCACGTCGCGTTACTTGTATATTATATATATGAAGCGGAATATTGTTTCGAATAAATAGATGGATGATCACCAGTTCTAATTACCAATTGTGAAGAAATATTAATAGTTGATGGTGTAGGATCAAATGATATTTTATTTCGCCACAATATATCTGGAATTTCTAAACAATGTTTTTCATTTTCTATATGTTTAGTCGATTCGAGTATGTGCTTTCGAATCTGATCTGAATAACATTGTGATCGTAAATGCTTCTGTAAATCATTGCCAGATAAAAAATATTCATTACATAAATGACAAATAACATTCAATTTTGTTGAACTCGAGTTACCTTTCTTGTTGAAGACAGCTCTGTTTTTAAAATTTTTGTAATGTTGAGATGGCGATTGAAAATTTTCATTTAAAAAAGAATTTGTGTTGTCGGAGATTCTGTTGTTGTAAATATAGAATATGTTGTTTCACGGGAAATAGTTCCGATTCGTGTATTTCTTGAGAATGTTTGTTGTTGATCTTGAGCATTTATAAGTAGTACTTTGGCTTAATGTTTATTAATGTTCAATAACGTATGTGGTATGAAAATAAACTTTTATATATGACGTTCATATGGTTCAAATATAAAATCATTAGCATCACTAACTTTACATGCAATATCAACTAATGCTTGTGAATATGAAGGAACAGTAATTTTGTTGACTAATAATGCTGGATAATTAATGTCAATAGGTTCCACATTCGGGATTGAAATTAATTGACCGTATTTATCAGGAATTGTTAATTTTTTCTGATCGCCAAAAAGATGTACATGATTTGAATTAATCCAATCATTGCCTAAAACAATTTATGTAATTATATTTCTCGCGACGTAAGCAAAGACCGAAGTTGTTATATGTTTAATTTTTATTTCTAATTCAATTTGACCGATAATAGGAAGTGGTGTTGAATTTGCTGTTTGACATGTTCTGGTTTGATAAATTAAATTGTTGTGATGAATGGTTTTAAGAAAATCTAAACGAATGATTGAGATGGCAGATCCTGTATCAACAATTGCTTCCGTTGGTTGATCATTAACACGATCCTTGATGTAAACGGGAAAAGATGTTATTGTTGATGCCTTAATAAATTTACTGGGAACACCGCCATCGCATGACCCAGTTATTGAAAACTTGGGGGCATTGTACAATCACTAATAGTATGATTTTGACCACAATTAAGACATCCGGTTGTCTGTTTATGAAAACAATCGATTGTTCGGTGATTTTGTTGACCACATATTGTACAATGATTAAATGATTATTATGATTTTAATTGATTATTAATATAATTTTTATATTTAAATTCATGTTGGTGTAAATTATGTTGGATGTTTTATCAGGTGTAAATGTTGATCAAGGGTCATATTGATAATTCGAGTTCTGTTTATAATTGGATCTCTGTGTTGTAAATGAATGTGAACGAGGATTAATTTTATTCATAAATTGATATTGTTGTTTTGGTTGTTCAATCATATTTGTCAATGAAGAAATTTGTTGATGATTAATTTGAAAATTAGATTTTGTAGATTCCATTGGTAGCCGATGAGATTTTTCAAATGTATCATATAAATCTTGTTCAATTTTAGCATATCTTAAAAATTCATTTAATGTATTCATAGACGATTTACGTCGAGAAAGTTCTTTCTGAAAATCAGGATTAATTCCACTCATTAAATGTCGAATCATAATTTGTTCTGACATATGTGGATCAATTTCTTTACATAGATTAAAAGTATCATCAAAATAAGATGTAGCCGGTTCATCATGTAATTGTTTTCGTTGTTTTAATAAATCGAATTTTTTTAATCATTGTTGATGAGAAATAACGATTTCGAAATGCAACTTCAAACTCTGATCATTTTTTGAAATCATGTTCATGATCATCGAACCATAATCCTGCTGATTGAATTAATTAGCCACGAACGATTTCGAAAATTTCATGGTTGTCTGATTCATCATTAGCCTTCTTAATATTCTTAATGCTTTTTAAAAAACGTTCGACATCCTCAGAAGGATGGCCAGAGAAATTTGATAGATCATCGAATCTAGCTTGTCGAGCTTTATCTAATAATGTTTAATCAATCATTTGACTTATATTTGTATGTGATATTGAACTTATTGAAGGATTATATCTTGATATGGTACGAGATAATGAATTTTTAATTATTGTGTATGGTAATAGCTTTGTATTATTTTTCTTAATTTGCAATCTTGTTTCCGTAGCCGTTATGAATATATTATAATGATTAATGTCAATGCAAGTGAATAGGTATATGAATCAATGGAATGCAAAACAAATGAAGGAAATTCTTCTTAGAATCTTTGTTTACAATTATTCAACCCAAAAAATCTCTATGATTTATTTTATATTGATTTTTTCCCCTTTTAATTTAGAATTTAATGTCCGAAAAAAGATTATGTAATATCAATTTCTTGTTTCAAATTCAAAAAAATATACAGTTTACTCAAAAGTATTCCTGATAGTCTTTGAATGTATGATATCATTGATTAGAAAAGGATTTTCTCACCTATTGATGAAACACGATATTTAAATATCAATTAAATAATATAATGTATTCAAAAAATTCCAAGTCTCTATATCAAGAGGCTTTTATATGAATGCATACGAGCCTCTATTCACGAGAGGCTCAAATGAAAATGAGTGGTAACTTCAGGAAATGAACTAATAATTGATTCTTGCTTGATAACGTTGATTTTGATTTTGATTTTTACTTTTTTTTTATTTTTCGTTTGGTTGTTGTTTTGCAGGGTCGCCAGTTGTTAAGGTTAAATGTATATCTTTTCTGTGCGTATGCTTGCACCCTCACTTTATTGAACAAGAATGTTCTTAACTTATAATGGTGACATGTACATATAGAGAAAAAAAAGAGAGTGATCTACTAACTGTTGTGAATGGATCATTGCATTATTTCTAAAATAAATTCACTTACGCACTTGTGTATATAATTTTTTAATCTGGGAGAAATAACAAAATAATTATACACAAAAATTAGGCATAGCTTACAATATTTTTGAATAATGATTTCGTTCTGGCACTTTTTACTTTTTAATGTCTACTCTTATTATTCACTAACGACATCATTGATATCTATACATATTTCAGTGATTTCATAACGTTTCTATAGCAACTCTCCATCATGAAAAAAGATCAGCTAGCGTCACCTATTCATTTTCTACAAAGCATCCCAGGTCAAGACAAACAGTTAAAGAACGCGTTCCGAACATAGCTTGCGAACGCGTTCGGAACTGGTAGCTCGGAACGTGTTCGTGTGTTCCGAACGCGTTGTTTATACCCTTCAATTCAGGTTCTTCCTGACGTTCAATGCAATCGCAAATGCTGAATTCGATGGTGTATATATACTGACACTCCAGTCGCTCTCATAAAGAGTACATTTACTTTCGTATATAAAGTTAACTATCTTCTTATTTTTCGCGTGAATTTGTGTCTCAGAAACTGAAAAGTCTTTATATACGAAAGTAAATGTGCTCATTGTGAGAGCAACTGAAGTGTCAGTATATATACACCATCGAATTCAGCGTTTGCGATTACATTGAACGTCAGAAAGAACCTGAATCGAAAGAGATAACAAAGCGTAAAATTTCACAAATAAAAAACTGTTTCATAAAAGTATATGAGCAAGCTTACGTGAATTAAAAAAAACATTTTCTGAATGGAATAAAAACTCCTTTCCAAAATGCGTTGTCGATATCTTAAGTACTGTCTTCTTTTTAAATCACGATCTATATGAAATCAGTTATAATAAAAAGATTGTAAGACGCGATTTAGAAATAAAAATTACGACATGTCTGAAATAGACTAACATATAAATCATTAACACCGAGTATATGTCGACTTATGCATTATATAAACTGAAAAATAAATTCATATTATCTAAAAAAAACAACTTGTATAAATTGCCAATTCATGTAGGAAAAAAAATAAAGAAAAAATAATTATCTAAAATAATTTTTGATCCTTCCCTCGACTGTAGGGAGGGTCATATGAAAAAAACTGGGTTGTGTGTGTGTTTGTGTGTCTGCGTCGGGGTCAAAAGGACATCAGGGTCAAAAAAACATCCATTTAAAGTTCTTTTCTATAAAGGTTGACGAAAGTAAATCGGGGTCGGAGAATCAAAATCTGAAGTTAGTTTCTCAAAATTTTGAATTGAATTTTTTGAGTCAAAGGAAGGGTTTTTTGAGAAAATATCGATATTTTATAAAGGTTGACGAAAGTAAATTGGGGTCGGAGAATCCGAATCTGAAGTCGGTTTCTCACATTTTGAAGTGAACTTGTTAGGTTGATGAAAGGATTTTTTGAGAAAATAACGGTATTTTGTAAAGGTTGACGAAAGTACATCAGGGTCGGGGAATCCGAATCTAAAGTTAGTTTCTCAAAGTTTTGAATTGAATTTTTTGGTTCAGGAGAAAAGGTTTTTTTGAGAAAATAATTTTTTCTCGACTGTAGGAAGAGTTGTATGAAGTAAAATAAATTTTCGTCTGTTTTTGTCAGATTGAAAGGTGAAGCGTCATAAAAAACGTTGGCTAAGTGTTCGATTCTCGTGCTTTTAACGTTGAACTTTCAACCAATTCGATTTTTCACACTGAAAATTCAGTCAATCCAACATATGTGATAAGTTCTCCCTTAATCAGCTGTTTCATAACTGGGTGTCCATGGATGAGACTTGTATACTTCTATCTGATACAGTCGAGTGTCAAGTGAGTCGAACCGATGAACGTTACTTGTAAATATTTTATAGTTTCTATTTCTTCACAATAATCAAAACTTAAAAATAAAAATGCAAAGTCATTTTATATTTTAGTGAAAGACTATCATTTTTCACTGTTATTCACGCGTGGTCTCTACAAAGGAGACGAGAACGCTTATAAATGCGTGCGAAGCAAGTGATCGATATAAAACGCGTTCAGAATCCGTTTTCATACGTTCGTCCGTTTAGAATGCGTTCTTTAACCGTTTGTCTTGACCTGGGATCAGCACAATATTTATCACACCTTGTTCCTCACTTTACGCTGATTCTAAATATATATAATCTTAATATTTGGCCCAGTTTAAAAAAAATATTCACACACTGCATTTAGAAATAACCACTAAAAAATAAGCGTCTTCGTTTCATCAGTCAGTAGATCATAGAGAGAAGAGAAGACAAAACAGTTCACGGTCAAAGAAGATGACAGATAACAGAGGATCATATATATATATATAGAGAGAGAGAGAACATGTACACGTGCGACATCACTGTAACAGTAACAAGAGTGACGTATGTGAGAATTCATGTAAACGATACTTTAGGTAAACCAGTCATACGCAATATGATTGTTCACTCTCCAGGGATACACTAAATTCCAAAACCGAATCATTCAAATTGCATTAAAACTCTCGAGTGAAAACGAAATTATAAAATTTGCATGTACGTAGCACATTATGAACCCTAAAAAATGTACCCTTTTTACGATTCAATTTTTATTTAAATTTCTACGCACATTTTCGGTTTTTTTATTGCTTGTTTTCCGAAGCAATGTCAGTTGAAAAAAACGAACATTTTTGATAAAATAAATTTCCTAATAAAGGTTTCATTTTTTTGTGAAATATTTCCTTGAACAAAACATCAAGACAAAACAAAAACGCATTTTTATTTTGCACAGATAGGTCAAAATGGATCAGTTAGAAATAAAAACAAATACACGCAAAATATCGAAAACTTTAAAATTTTTCTGTTGAAGGAGAAGGCCAAAATCATGCAGTCAATAGAAACGATGCAGTTTTTTGCTTCTTTACGTTGGCTTTGTGTAATTTCGCCAATTCTACCTTTTCACTGTTGTGCTTTCATACATCTTGACTGATTCAATTTGGTCGGTTAGCATATCAAGTACTATAGCTGACGAGAGAACTACCCCAAGTGATTCACCGCTTTTGAACTCATACTTTGGGGATAAGTAGGAGACCCCGACACTAGAATAACCCTAAGAGGATTTGGGCCTATGCACCTGTGGGGCTGAGTTATAACCGTTTTACTCGATTTTTGCCCTAGGGCACTGGTTCACCTGCAAAACCAAATCAACGAATTTCGATCTGAAATTTTGTCCACAAAGAGGCCTAATGGCCACTAGAATATATCCTTCTTAAGATATTGAATTTTCAAAAAGCGACTATTTCTCGAAAAGAATTAGCAGACCCGGAATTTATTGTGGAGTCAATATCTTAAGAAGGATGCATTCGTTTTGTCTGAAACTTTCAGGGTATTCTAGTAGCCATTAGGCCTCTTCGTGGACAAAATTTCAGATCGAAATTCGTTGATTTGGTTTTGCAGGTGAACCAGTGCCCTAGGGCGAAAATCGAGTAAAACGGTTATAACTCAGCCCCACAGGTGCATGGGCCCAAATCCTCTTAGGGTTATTCTAGTGTCGGAGTCTCCTACTTATCCCCAAAGTATGAGCTCAAAAGCGGTGAATCACTTGGGGTAGTTCCCTCGTTAGTTTTTTTGGAAAGTTTGAAGTTAGTTTTATTCTTGAATAATTATTTGTAGTAATAGATAGCTTCGGTACATTCAAGTGAGATATGCTGTCAGGTTAAAAATTGATATGTAGAATTAATTTTGATGTCTAAGATCTTCACTTTTAATATTTTATAAAGCATTGATGAGAGGATTCATTTTCTTGATTATGCATAGAGAAAGGATGAAGATCCTTTGGTTACATAGCTCTAAAATATCTTCTATTATTTATAAGACTAGAATGAAGCAAAGCTTGAAAGTGTTACGACCATTTATCCACGAAAATCTTCATTAGAAAGAAATCAAAAGAAAAATAAATAAAGTTTCTCAATCTTCAGATATATTGTCTTCTCTTAGCTCAAAATCTTCTTTCTTCTATAAGATTTCCTGCTTGCTCTATTCTCTATGTATTTATTTAAGTAAAACACATAGCATATAATACTGTTTCAAGTTATTTCTAAGAGAATGGAAAAAGTATATCGAGATTAATAATTACACATTACCATAGGGTTGTTTAGTATTGATGAACACAGTGATATTACGAAAACTAAGTCCACTGGAATGTTAACACACTCACACAGTATGAAATATATTAGTTAATTCAATATAATCACTGTTTCATTGAATAATAATGAAAATATTGTCAATAGACTTCAGTATAATTTATAATATCTCATTTTTTAAGATGTTCTTTGCTTTTTATTATAGGATGAAGCTTCTATAATAAGTTATTGCCCTATTGATGAAGATGGTTGTCGATATTTATTAACTGATTATTTTGGTAAACTTTATTTACTTGTACTTGAACATGATAAACGTAATGGAAGTTCATCAACAACCATAACTGATATGAAAGTAATGAATAAACATAATTATTTTTATTTTCTAGACATTAGTTTTTAGTTGGATCTTCTCGGTGAAACATCAATGTGTGAATATATAACTTATTTAGATAATGGTGTTACTTTTGTTGGATCACGTTTTGGTGATAGTCAACTTATACGAGTAGATTTAATATTCATTTTGTTTATTTAATGTTTGTTGTCTTCTCATTGTACATGTAGCTTCTACCTGAACCTGAAAATGGTAGTCATTTAGAAATACTTGAATCTTATACAAATCTTGGACCAATTGTTGATATGTGTGTTGTGGATTTGGAAAGACAAGGACGACAGGTTAGAAGAAAAGCAAAACATTATTTTCTTAGATACGAATTTTTTTAAACACGAGCTTCAAGAAGTATAGAAATAGGAATTTGAACTAATCCCCCTTCTTCATAGACGTTGACATACGACCAAGACAGTATATCACTAACATTTCATTTTAATATATGAAATACTACCAGATCGGAGAAAAACGCATCGAATTTCTAACGAAAATAAAATCATGAGTAGCACACATTTTTACATGACAGTTTGCTGAATTGAGCCCCCCCCCCCCCTCACAAAACCAGTTTAGCCCAGGGACATCCAAACGGGATGGAACCTCCAGGATAGGGTCGGGCCAGAAAGAGGAGACATCGAAAAAAATTGCCGTC